ATTAATCAAATAAGGTTTTGCTTCACTTCCTTTTACTACCTGAACTCCTATTTACACTAAGGCTCAAACACGTTTTTCTAGTTGTATCATTGTTAGGCAATAAAAAATAAATTATTTCAAGTTGAATTGAACTGGTTTAAGCCCAGTCCTTTCTGATTCACTCCATGGCAAGAAGCCATTTGTGACATGGGAATGAAGGGCAATCGGACCTCAGAAATAGAAGTCTGACCTGGTATCCAAACCAGGACTGCCTTCTTAATCTTCTATTTTATCTTCTCTTCCTCCTTTCCTTTTGGCACAAAAGACTAAATGGAGAGACCCTGGACTCACCTAGACAGACCAGCTTCCCCAGGGAGGTGGAGCTGCACATGGAGACAGGGCTATGTGGTTTTCTTGTTGTCCAGGCCTTCATGCTACACCCCGTGGCTGTCCAAAGTGCTCCTTCCTTATCAGAAAACACCCTACCCCCAGTAGTAGAATGAGGCTCCCTCCTGCCTTCTCAAATTAGTCTTTTAGTCCCTGTGCGCCACAGAGATCAACCAAGATGTCTGATCTGAGTGACTCAAGCCAAGAATAGCTGAAAGATTTGGTCCAAACATTTGTATTTCTAAGGGAAGAATTATTAGCACAATGAATCCCTAAGGACAGAATCAGGAGGGGACTTCTGCCCTTTACTCATCCAACGTGTACCAGTGCCTCCATTAACCAGGAAATAAAAATAAACAACCAAATTTGTACCTTAATGTGATCCAAGGTGTTCCCAGACACCAACACTGCTAGCTGTTCTGTGATCCCAAAGAATTGTACCAAAATAATGGACATTGCTGGTGAGAAGCTCTCTTAGGAGCAATTTCTTGGCAATTGGTGGTAAGAAGGGAGAATCTACTTCTCTGGGAATGCAAGGTAAACCCTTGTAGAGTCACCAGCTCAGATAAAAGTTGGCCTCCCAGATTCAGAGAGGTGTGACACAAGCCAAGAAGGGCCTGATTTAGTTGTGCAAACAAAACCCTCTTAGGTTTGGTATGACTTAGCTCTGTGGCTGGCAGTCTGAGCTACTTACATTGCAGACATGGACACGTAAGTGCAAACATACATCATTTAAGTGAGGTAGGGCATTAGTCAATATGAGTACCGTGAGAGTGAGATCCAGATGATTTCATTAGAGCCTGGTGAGGCCTCTGCAACCTCTCTGCCTGTGAGGGGTGGGGCGACAGAGGGACCTAGGCCATGGCTTTCCTTGGTCCACCCATCCCTAGTCTCCTCCAAGATGCTCTGTGTCCTTGGACTGTGCCTCTTCTCTCGCCTCACTGTCATAAAGTTGGAATTCTAAATGAAGCTTTTATGTAGTGGCGAGTAAGTACTGTTTCCTGAAGAAACATGTCAGGAGGCCCTCTGTAAATACAGGCTGGGTGCCATAAGGCAGATTGGTGGGCTTGGCAGTTGCTTTGGCTTGGGGTGCATGTGCCATGAAGGATCATCCTCTGACCTTCTTTCCCTGCCCTGTCATTTCTCAGATCGCCTTGAAGTGTGCTGACATTTGCAATCCCTGCAGAATCTGGGAAATGAGCAAGCAATGGAGTGAAAGGGTCTGTGAAGAATTCTACAGGCAAGGTGAGTAGTGATCCCACAACTGAGATGTCATGGCCTCTTCTCCATCTGGGCATTTATGCTAATAAAAGAGGAAATGACTAATCTATCAGGACATTTGTTCTTTCGTCAACTGTTAATACCCTAACCTTTCTCTTTAACTCTCTTGCAAGCCATCCAATCCTTTTATGGAAAAAAAAAAAAAAAAAAGTCTGAAACAAATAACATTACTTACCAGGGAAACAGGTAGTAAAGAACCATGTTAAAAATGAGCAAAAGTATAATTAATGTAAGATACATATGTGTATAAATTCTGTATGGCTTTCTTTTGTTTGTTTTTGTTTGTTTTTTTTGTTTTGGGGTTTTTTTTTGTTTTGGGGTTTTTTTTTGCACCAAAATAAATTGGTACTTTAATTTCATTTTTCTACAAGCTTTTTGAGATCTTCTAATATATCTCCTCTGTAGATAAGAGAATGTTAGGGACAGTTTGATTTTTACCATGACCTTTATTTTAATGAGCTGAGCACAGCCTACAGGCTAAATGGCATTGAGGGTCAGTGTTTTCAATTCCGACAGATGGACTTGAACTGCTTTTATATCCCATTCCCTTGCTTTCTTAAGCAGAGTTAATCATGAAATAGAACACAGCCAACCAAAAATTGAGTTCATGCTTTCAAATACAGTTTCAACAGTGAGTTAGAATTTTGCTGTGAAAAGACAAATGACCCTGAGTTAGGCTATAATTTTTAAAAGATTAACCTTATTCAAAACTAAGGCAATGAATTAGCAAGCAGGATCTTGATGCTGGGTGGGATATCGACCTTTAAACACGGCCTTGTTTCTTCAGGCATGGTTTCAACGTTCAGGATGTTTGTTTAGGCATCAGCAGTGCCCTCATGGTAGTGACAGGATCAGGTTTGAGAGGCTGAGAACAAATAAAGCTTGAAGTGTCCCACATACCAGCTCTGTAGGGAGGTCAAATAGCAACAGTGAGCCTTTGGGAGAAGACTCCATTGAAAGATGTCAGTGACATCATGATGGCCCCACAGACAGAAGACAGAGAAGAATTGATTGAGTTCATGTGGGGCCAGAGGCTCTGCTCCTCATCTCCTTTCCTCAGAATTTGTGAGAGCTCATGTAGCTTCCTTCAAATCTGTGTGGCTTCACTTGAATTGAGTGTGAGTGGAGAGAATCAAAAGACCAGTTCTAGTTTCTCATAGTATAAAATCTCCACTGAGAGAAAAAAAAAAAAAAGGAAATATGATTAAACTAGAGCAAGGAGGTTTTAGGTTGGATATGATAAGTACTTATTTACCATAAAATATATAAAATATTGAAATATCACAGCAAGAAAGGGGTTAGTATTTCCATCCTTAAAAATCGAAGTGATGGGACTAGCAGTTAGCGTAATGGCTATGTCGCTGGACTCCCATGTAGTCAACCGTAGTTTGAGTCCCAGATCCAGTGGTTTAAACTCACGCCGGGCACGTGCACGTGCGTGCCCAAGATCCCAAGAGGAGAATGGAGGAGAAGGGATTGCGGCGTGGCCATCCCCCCTGGGAGGGGGGGATTTCTCACTTTCTATCTCTCTGTCTCTCTGGTGAGTGCACACGCCCTATAGCAAAAACCTCTCCACAAAAAAAA